CTCTCTGTGCCTCGCTTTCTTCTCCCTCCCCCACCCTCTGTCTGTCTCTCTGTCTCTCTGTCTCTCTCTCTCTCTCTCTCTCTCTCTCTCTCTCTGTCCCTCCCTCCCCGTCTCTTTCCCAGTCTCTTTCTTGTGGGGTAGAAATTGAAACGTGGTTACAAAACTTATAATAATATTGTGTTCTTTTACATTTATACACCTCCAATCCCCGGTCCCATTTCCCTTTCGTAACTTTCATTTATTTCTTTTTCCCTGTGTCTTGCATCTCAACAGCCTAGCGGACAAGGGGGATCGGAACCCTCGCACACGGGCTCAGTGCAGAGTTTCCCTCGACCACACCCACAACAAAGACGTCGCGAGATGACGACACTGGAGGAACGCACGCCCAGGGGCGATGAGAACTCCCCGCATGGCAACGGAGTCCTTAGCAACCACAGCAGCAACAACACCACGGCGAGGAACAACAACAACAACAACAACAACAACAACAACAACAACAACAATTACAATAACACGCGGCTCAGCAGGGCTCAGACTGCACACGGGCGGATAAATCTGCACAGAGAGTGAGTGTGGGGAAATATTTACTCAGTAGCTTCCCTTTGTATATAATTTGTCTACCGTACGTGAAGAGGACACAACTCATACATTGTATTCTTATTGTTAACTAGCTGGACCCCTTTTCAATGACAGGAATGATCGGTGCATTAACATCAACTGAACGTCATAGTGATAGGCCTACTATATTTACGCTCTACTGGAATGGAGCAATAAATCTTGAGAGATGCAAAAAATCAGAAGGTCTAGATATAGAGCAGATGTATAGATTGATTCTCTATTCCGCTTTCGTGGTTGTACACTCCAGAATTTCAAAGGTGTGGGATCAGTGCGCGCACTCCTTGTGAAAGGAAGCCTCACTTGTTTACAATGGTGTCTTAGAAGACGGACTTTCTCAAGAATAGATCTAAACAAAACTAATGGAAAACTGAAAATTAAACTACAATGACTTCAGACTCCTCAGTAAAACTGTGCACGCTTTAAATGATTCTGAACCACCATTAATTTTTTTCTATTCGAAAGTTAAGTGTTTCCGAAGTTTTAGCCGGCCAAAGTGAAGAACTTTCACAAATTTTACTATAACATTACTCTTTGAAAACTTCTGTCTGTCATCCTAAAGTGAGTGTTGGGAAATATTTACTCAGTTATCTCCCTTGGCATATACCGTTC